AAAAAAAAAAGACATTATTGACTGTCTCACTATCAAATTATTTTCTCTTTTCTCCCACTTCTATCTAATTTCTTTGCATGACTTTTGGTGTGAATGCTGATTAAACCTATGGGGTTCACAGAGTTACATCTCCAGCGCTTCTTTAAAATTCTGAGACAGAGCATCATTGTCACTAAATTGCCCTGGCCAAGCCTGAACTTTCAATCCTCCTGCCTCAGCTTCCCACAGTGCTGAGATTATAGTTATGTACCAGCATATGTAACTTCTCTGCAGCATTATAGCTACTGGCTTTTTTTTTTTAACCTCTTTCTGCTCGATCATTTCTAGCCTTTCCTCCTTGAGTTTTCTCTTTCCCCATTTCTTGGATGTTGGCATTCTCTATGGTCTATAATTAAAATTTCTTACTTCTCAATGTTTTATAGTATCTTAGTTCTGTAGCTTCAGCTACTACTAAATGCTGGTGACTTTTCAGGACTCTGAACAGAAGTGAGCTTTTAACTTTCAATTTCAATTTTATTATGCAAACATATTATTTGTTCCTAAATACCTGCCATTCTAATTTCCTATTTGCTTAGTGATCATATTAATTGTTCAAGTTAAGAAGCTCAAGACTGCTTAAATTAAAAAGTCCGGAGGGAATTTACTACTCATATTTTACACAAATTGAACTATTAATAAATAAACCAAAACTACTGGATGATCAAATAATATATAACAGAAATCAGAGGCTAAAAGCTGGTAGTCCTAAGGTTCGATCCCCGGTCCTGCATGTCCCACCAGCCCTGCCCTGGGGTGCACTGAGCTGGTGACAAAGTCTGGGTGTGGTGATCCATGCCTGTAATCCCAGTGCTGGGGAGGCTGAAAACAGGAGGGCCACTACAAGTCCTATCTGCATAGTGAGATTGCATCAAATGCACAAAGGAGAAATAAAAAATAATAATAATAAAACTGGTAGTCTGCTTGTCCCAATGTTTTTAAAATCAGGAAGGAGAAAGGGAAAAGTCTAAAGGACTCTCTTCCTGAAAAAATGGGAAGATCTACCAACACTGTCTCATCCTTTAAGGCGAAATATGGTATTGCCAAAAAGGTGCTGATCCCTTCAAGCGTGTTTGTCAACATCTTCATTTTCTTCTAGTCTGTATGACTTATTTATATAATGGCTTCATTCTTGTTTTGAATATCTTCCTTTATAAAGCCTTTAGTTTTGTAATGCTTGGTATATGCACAAATTCAAAGAAACAATTCTGTGAAAGAGGTACAAATTAAGGCCAGACCTTAAAGGATTTAGGTCTATAGAGCCTATGAGGAGGAGAAAAATAAATCCAGCTATGGCAAAAAGGGAGCGAGCGCATGGTATGAAGAGGAAAAAGAAACTTAAGTTTTTAGAAGCAGTATTCAACAGTAGCTAATCCAAAGCAAAAATATGGTTAATGCTTTTATGTGAGGTTCATACCCCAGCTGTACTGCTTTCCACCTAAGTACTAAGCCAAGTTACTTAAAAATGCCAAAATCTATGTTCCCTCAGCTACTGAATTAACATTTCTTAATTTAACCAAATACAATGGCATAATATTCAGTCCCTTATTAATTCCCTCTCTGGTCTCCTATTTTCATAGCACAAGAAACTGGGTCAGAAGAAGGTGAAGCGATTTATCTGAGCTCACACTGTAGAGAGTCAGGATTCCCTTGTTTTTTATTTAGTTTATGGTTACATTTGCTTTTTAAATGGCAACATATCAACTAGTAACAAGAATGACCTTATTTAGACAAAAGGATTCACTCTGTAGCACATGCTACTGTCCAGCATACCATCAGAATTTAATATTAAATTAAGCATTAGGTTTCTCAAAGAGTTTCACTTATTTTTGGTAATTATATAAGAGCACTTTTATTTTAAACAATATACTGTAAGTAGTAATATATAACAAAATCAAGTTTTTATAAGCTTAAAATATTTTGAAGTAGCAATTTAAAATGTTCAAAACTTCTAGGCTATAAAAAACATCACTGAAGAGGCTACTGCCCAACAAAGTATAGCGCTTGTTCTTGCTAACAAAAAACAAACTTACTAGTTTGTAACTACTTCTAAGGTGAAGTTGAGTACTTATTTTCAGCATTCAATTTAAAAGCTCTCTGGCTAGCAGACTAAAATGTTTTCTAATTGCCTGAACTGACAGTCTGTTTCCAGATGGTGCCCTTCCTTCAACCTGTACACAATCTCCCCTTGTTTGGAGCTATTCAACCTCCTGCTGATCCCACTACCCCCATCCCTATTTAAAGCGACAGAGAGGAAATCCTAAACAGATTCCCCCCACCTTCCCAGTCTCCAGCAATTTCTGGTGACGTAATAATGTGGGCTGAACTTGAGTCTACTGAGAGAGGGAATCACGATTCAGGAGTGCTGTGTATACAGGCTGTGTCAGCTGCAGCTGGTTACTGCACTTCTCCATGTGGCAGACAGCAAAGCCACAGCGCTCTCTCTGCTGGATTAGAGACAGCCCACAGACCAGAACTTCCACTACGCTACTTAAATTTACATAGGTGGCTTGTCAAGTTCAATCGATTAGTATTATAAAAAGAAAAAGAAGTTCTTCCTTACAGCGTGGAGTCAACCGTCCCAAACAAAAATGCAGCTGCCATTAACATCGTAGATGAACAAACTTCTACACTGATTTTTTAAAACATCAAGAATAAGTGCAGCAAGTTTCTGGATTCATATTATCAACAGATACAAAAGGTATTTTAATATTTTTATTAAAATATGTATAGATCAAAATGCATAATATTTTACATTTGTAGTTGAGCTTCCAAAATCTATTAACTTTGGAACAAACTACAATTTATCTCATCTGGAAAAGGTTTTGTTTTGTAACTTTATGTAGAAACTAGTCATTATGTATTTTTGTAATGGTTAATGCATTATTTAATAACATTTTATGTGGATAATTATAGACTGATATATAGAAGCTGATTTTCTGAAAATAAATGTTTTAGTGATGCCCGAAATAAATTTTAGTAACACATTAAATGTATAAGATTTATGGTATTAAAAATGAAAGAATAGTTAGAAATAGGATTAGTCTCTCTCATTAGCTAAAGTGTGTGCTGATGAGAAATTTTTTGATTTCTCAAACTTTGGCTACAAAACAAAGTAAAAATAACCAAATTTATTTTCAACAAAACCTCAAAGTATATTAGGTACAATTCTTGTAAAGACATAAATCTATAGTATTTCTTGCTACAATTCAAATTTTTAAATAGCTTTTCACATTTACATGTGACAGTAATTTAATTTGGATAGCAAATTAAAACAGCTATGACTGACATTGCTTGAAAAAGCAACATTGTTGATAATATAAAAAAAAAACTAAACCTTCTTATAGATTAGGACTCAATAAATAGCAGGTAAGTAGTTCAGCCCTAACAATAGAAAATATGACTCAAGATTTAATCATTTAAGAACAATGATCAAAAGACCAAAAATATTTTTAAGACAAATAATTTTGGTCACCATATATAAGAAACATCTTTTAGTATTCTAATATTTTTTTAATTATGAGAATTACTAAAAATAAATTAGTAGTTACTAACAGTAATCTTTAACACCAAGGATATTTAAGTTTGTTATGATTTGGGTCCTCTGATCTTTTAATTTTCACTATTAAGAATTTTATCAAGTAAATAATGGTAAACCTGAGATTTTCTTAAAACTTTGCTTTCATGTCCTTTCCTTAAAGATGCAAACTCCAAACAGTGGAAAGATCTCTGTGAAACATATTTTATAAGAGGTTCTGATAGAATTTCAAGCAATACTAGACCTGGAGTACATGCCATGCCTATTGTTGCTGGCTATGAAGAGTGCAGAGGACCTCTTTAAGCTTCAGTGTTCCTTGTTGTTTCAGGCAACCATTTAATGAGATGCAAGTCACATAGATCAGCTATCCCTTTCTGAAATCAACCCAACGGATGAGATTGTTCTCCAATCTTTTTCTAGCACATACTTCACAGCCTAGAAGTTCTTTAACACATCCTTAGTGCTGCAAAAATGCAACTTTATTGCCTCATGCTGCTTTCCCTGCCATGACACAGCTAATTAAATGCCTCCATGATTCACCATCTGAAACAAGGTCCTGGCTCTTATTTCTTCTAATTTGGCAACGTGGCAGCTATGAAGAGAAATAGCGCGAATAAAATGGACCAGAAATGCAGAGAATGTATTTTTTCTTTTCTAAACACAAACAAGACACATTTAAACTATAGTACACTGTATATAATTTTCTTGGGATCTAGGAGAATTGGAATATACATACACAGAAAAATTTTACGAGGTAACACAGATTTATAGATCTTTCACTTTTAAAACTGAACATATGTGGGAAAATACGACTATTTTTAGAAAATGGAATGGTAAATTAAAGCCCGTACTTTTCTCATGTACCAGTCCACTACCTAAATGTGACTCCTTGCTCTGCCTTAAGGGACGATGGAGTCTTACTTTTGATGGAATAAGAGAATTTATCTATTAATGAAAAACAAGCTTTTAGCTGCCTGCTTCAAATCCTAAGTGAAATCTTATGCTTAATTTTATGGGAACCACAACAGCCCAAGGCAAGAATATACAAAAGAAAAATACAGTATTTTTATTTTAATTTGAATTGACTTTTTTTCCTTTTGGGGCTTTGTTCTCTAATGACAATGTTGATAGAAGATTCTAGGTAATATGTCCTTACTTGTTCTATAAAAATCTCCACCTGGTTGGTATTATTGCAGACTGTCCAATCAGGATTAACTATAACATCCTAGTTTTTAGAATAGAAGTTTCATAACACTTTTTTGGAATTTTTTTGCTTTGGTAGTTGATTTAATAGTAGGAATTACATAAATAAAAAATTTTGTGACTTAGCTATTGAAACAAGTAGACTTCAGTACCAAGTTGTTAAATATGTCAGAAAAATGGGTTTACACAGAAGGTTGAGGGCTTGTATTTTATTTTCACTGTCCTTGATTTTTAAAATAAGACACTTCTAAATTTTATGAATCTGGAAATATAACAAGAAATCATTTGTAAGTTTTTAGTATAGGCAATGCTTGTATATAGTAGGTCTGTAAAATAGAATGATGATTCTTTTTTATTTTCATTTTTTTAAAAATGTATTCGGTACAGAGTCTCACTAGGCAGTTCCAACTTGCAGCGATCCTCCTGTTTTCAGCCTCCCCAGAGCAGGGATTACAGGAGTGCCCACCACGCCCAGCAGTCTTGGTGGCTGGCTCAGCACACCCTGGGGAGGGGCCTGCGCAGCATGTGGTGCTGGGGATTGAACTGTGGTCCCTGTTTAGCCACTGAGCTATCTCACTGGCCTCAGAATCCAAATTTTCTAATGTCAGAAGGTAAAATACTAAAACATAAAAAGTTAAAAGCACTCATTCATGTGAACTTCTCATTTTCAGCAACGGAAAGCTTTGGTATAAATACATTCTTCTCCATATCTTCAATGAAAGAATAATTTTTCTAAACTCCACCCATTCTTTGGTTTATTTTCATTATCCACATTGAATATACTGCTCATTTGAAAACAACAAAAACACAAAGATGTGCTTTTTGGGGAATAAAAGCAACAGATTTCACGACTACAGCTCAAGGGTGTATGTTTCACTGATACTTGCTTTTGTGAGAGATCGTAATAGATTACATAAGCACCAAGTGAGAGCCTGCATAAACATAACCTGACCGCGGGAAAGAAATGACAGCAAAAATGCAGGGATGTAAAAATAATGCAAACAAATTTTAACAAAATGGTTCAGGATTATAGTCATTAAGTAACTGGACAATGAGAAGAGATATAGAAACATACACTAAGACTCCTCTGTGACTGACAAGACTGGGAGAAATAGAATTCACAGACCTAAAACAAGTAGGAATAGAAAATTTGAGCCCTATTTGAGTATTTTAGCTTCTCCAGGACTTCATTTTATTGTAAAATGATACACACTTACTTTATAATGTTGTGAATGCAAATAGTTAATGTGTGTTAAACATTACGTAAGTGTAAGGGATTGTTATAGTGCTGTGATGGAAAAACAGTTTAGAATATGGCATTATATAATGTAGTGGTTAATTTAAAACACAGATTCTGGGTGCTTCTGCCTGGTTTCAAATTCTTAAAAGCTGTGTGACTCTTGACAAGGTGCTAAACTTCTGGATGCCAACTTCATCTGAAAATGGGGAGCATGGTAATCTGTCTCAGAGAGCCGTGATGAGAAGTAAACGACTTAATACATAAAAAGGGCTTAAAATGCTGCTGGCCCTGAAAAAGCACCTAACAGGTATTGACTACTATTCCTGCAATATAGTTATTACTAATTATAGGTACCTATAACTTAGGGCCTGACTTTCCGAATGAAGAATTAAGTACTAATGTAGAAAAGTGGAAAGTAAAAATCTGAGAGTATCTACTGCTATCATTTAAAAACAACAGATAAGCCAGAGGTGGCAGCACACTCATGTAATCAAGCACACTCAGGAGGTTGAGGCAGGAGGAACACTCAGTTAGAGGACAGCCAGAGCTATACAGTAAATTCAAAGCCAGCGTGAACTACAAGCTGTGAGATACTGTCTCAAAACCCCGAAAGAACAGATAGAATCAAGTTTTTAAGAGTTAGAGGGGCTGTAATAAAGCTGCTTGCTAGTGGACCTGATACAGTGAACTTACCTTCCCCTTATTGTAGTATTATAGTTTGGGCAATAACTAAAGAAAAGAGAAACAGTCTTGGCTCTTGAAACTAGTTTCTGTTGAAGAACTGAACTATAAAAAAACACTTATTTCTCATTTGCTGTTTAAAACGTGAGCCATTTCAAGCACATGTTTTGGCATACAGGCTGTTACTATAAATACTAATTGAGAACCATGGAACCTGAGTTCTAGACCTGATTCTATCATTCTATCATTCTTCAACCAGTTACCAATCCCAAAAGCAGATATTACAAAAAATAGAGAAGCAATTTATGATGGTAAAGCACATTTTTAAATTTATATAAAATATATCTTTGACAGGTGAAAGACATTTATCACAGAGGACCAATTTAATTGAAACTGTAGTATATAAAATAAGATATGGGCAAGTAATGTCATTTAGTTATTACATTACTAGCTAGGCAATATTTTAATTAATACCTTAGAGAACTTTGTGTACCATTTTCATAGTCTTAAGAGGCAGTGAGCTTTTTAAATGTTAAGAAAGATACCTTATTAGAGTTTTTAAAAAATCCCAACAGTCCCTAATACAGGGCCTTTGCACATGGCAGGCAATGAGCAAAACATAGTCAACATGCTTGGGAACTAAAAGCACTTACAATAAGTTGGTAAGTGAAAGAGGTGCTCTTTGAACTGTAATCTTTTTTTTTTATGAACTGTAATCTTTAAACAAATTTCAAATCACTATAACTTAAGATCTTAAAAAATAAAGCAAATTCTAACACCAACGAATTATTCATTTTCCCTCTGATATTCTTCTATACTACTGACTTTAAATATAGATTAATATGATTTTTTTTTACTTTTTCTTTTCATTGATTTGTTTTTCAAAGACGTCGTTGTACAACCTCATTTCAAAATGAAAGCTTTAGTTTGGACCCTAGGTATGGTACTCTTCCTAGTAATGGGCACCGGACACTGCAGAGGAGGACAGCTCAAAATAAAAAAAATAACCCAGAGGAGATATCCTCGTGCTACAGATGGTAAAGAGGAAGCAAAGAAATGCTCATACACATTCCTGGTACCTGAACAAAAAATAACAGGGCCCATCTGTGTCAACACCAAAGGGCAAGATGCAGGTACCATTAAAGATATGATCACCAGGATGGACCTTGAAAATCTGAAGGACACACTTTCCAAACAGAAGCGAGAGATAGATGTCCTGCAATTGGTGGTGGACGTAGATGGAAACATTGTAAACGAAGTAAAGCTGCTGAGAAAGGAAAGCCGTAACATGAACTCTCGTGTTACTCAACTCTATATGCAACTACTACATGAGATTATCCGTAAGAGGGATAATTCCCTTGAACTTTCTCAGCTGGAAAATAAGATCCTCAATGTTACCACAGAGATGCTGAAGATGGCAACAAGGTACAGGGAATTAGAGGTGAAATACGCTTCCTTGACTGATCTTGTCAATAACCAGTCTGTGATGATCACTTTGTTGGAAGAGCAGTGCTTGAGGATATTTTCCCGACAAGACACACATGTGTCGCCCCCTCTAGTCCAGGTGGTGCCACAACACATTCCCAACAGTCATCAGTACACTCCAGGTCTGCTGGGAGGTAATGAGATACAGAGGGATACAGGTTATCCCAGAGACTTAATACCACCACCAGATCTAGCAACCTCACCCACCAAAAGCCCTTTTAAGATACCTCCAGTGACTTTCATCAATGAAGGTGAGTTATTTCTTACTGGTAAAAACAGAAGTATGGGATTACTTTTATAATTTACGCAACAAGGGTTATAATAAATACTTATTCTTCATTTGGGTGATATACATACAAATTAAAAGGTCTATATTTTATTTAAGAATTGATCTTAAATATATCTTCTCTCTCAGCTCTCACTTTCTAGGAGTTTATAAAAATTATGTTCTGTGAAAAAAGCAGTGTTCCACCCAAATTCTTACAGTTGAGGTTACTATCAAGGAGATTCAGGAATGAGCCCACAATGCACTTCTAACCAACTGAGTCTTGCTCTGTAATTGTTTCACTGGCCTCCTACTAGGTCCCGGCTGCTGCTTTTATTTCCCTCTTGCTCTTCTCACCATCATCCTTTGCTCCATTCTTTATCAGTCCTGGATCTAAATGCCCAGAAAACAAAGACAATCCTTCTGTTTCATTTTAGCAATTCATTGCTAACTTTGTGAAAGAGTATCTTTGATACTTTATTTTATGCTTGAATTCATTTTCTCATAAGTCATTCTCCTTTCTTGTATGTCTACACACACCCCCTGCCTCATAAGCCACTCTCTGGCATCCTTTACAAAGCTGATTGCTTCCTCAGAATGATAAGTAAACCACATCCATTCACTTGTGAAAATTTTTAAGACATAAAGTGCACGTAGACTATAAAACAACTTTAAACATCAATAACAAGAACACAAAACAAAGACCAAAAAGAAAGCTATTACACAAAGTGGCTGGCTGACTGCAGTGAAGTCCACCTCCTACTCACTTCTACTGTTCTGGGCTTCATTATTACTATATTCTGATTCTAGATGGTAAAAAAACCCAACCACAATATTCTGATTCTTATTTCTCTAGTGTTTTAACTGGCATCTTTCTCTTTCTACATTGAAAAAAAATTCTTCAACATATTCTACTTTAGAAGCCTCATACATCTTTACAGCTTTTTTTTTTTTTTTTGCAACTGGGGATTGAACTCAAGCCCTTGTGCTTGCCAGACAAGCACTTATTCTATTGAGCTATCTCCCTGGCCCTTGGGATTGATTTCTATAAATAAAAATTACAGGTCAAATGATATTAACATGTTTAATTTAGGGTATCACTCAGTTATGAACTATCTGGACTCATCCTTGATGCTTCCCATCTACCTTATACCCAAAGTCAACTGCATTTTTTCTGTGTCTCATTTCTTTTCAGAGACACAGCTATTAACTTAAAATCAAATTATCCATGGCAGTAGCCAAAGACAGAGATTTCTTAAGTTACCGAGACTCGTCTCCACCCCAGAGTTTCAGTTTCCTCATCTGTGAAATAGGAAGATAAAAGTTAATCACTGTATGCAGTTTACACTTGAAGGGTGCTTCACCAGTGCCTCGCACTCAAATGTTCATTGTCGTCAAGAACTGTACAACCACCTGATCTAAGTCCAATTCCTTCCTCCATCAAAACATATTCTACATTGCCAACAAAGCCATCTTCTTAAACTAGCCACGCCCACACTTCTGCTCAACAGTTTCCAACTTCAAACATAAAAGTCCAATTTGCTTAGTCCAGAGAAGAGTGATGCCCTTCTTCAAAGGCCCAAGCCCACTTTTAAGCTTCACTTCCACTAGTTTTCTTAAAAAAAAAAAAAAAAAAATCTGTTCCAAGCAAGGAATCTACACATTCTCCTAAATATCTTCCATGACTTTTGTCTAAAGTTTAAGGCTGAGACCGAATGAATGAGTGAATGAATGAATAAAACTGAAATTATTCCTTGAAGTCCTTCACACTCACAAACTTGAAATGACTCTCCATGAATACTTTCCTCTCAGTTAATACATATTTCATATATTTCCTTTTGAATTATCAGTAACCTTTTCATGTACACATCTAACTAAAATGCATCTTAACTACATTATAATAAACTCTTTCCTGGTAGAAGAATACTGCATCTCATCAATAGTAGCTAAATAAGGTTAGCTAATTTGGTAACATTTTATAGTGCTTCTTAAAGTTGTCATTCTAAAATCTTTCATGAAAATATTTAATATAATGTCCTAGATTCTTTTGGTATAATTGTTTTAACACTAGGAACAGGCCAGAGTATTATTAATTTAGGTACTTGATGGAGCTAAGGGGATACAGTACCTGTTTAACTGGGTTCAATCCCCAAAACCACACACACAAATACACACAAAAGTAGGTAAATGTGATAATTACTAATATCTTCAAGAACTTTGATTTTCAAAGGGAATATGCATACAAAATGATCCAATGGATATACAAAGAAAATTTATTTTTTGTATCTCTTAAAAATTATTTTGTATAAGCTTTTAAGGTACATAATTTATCAGAATAATAAGTCTGTATATGGAATTTATAAACAAACAGAGGTGTAAGAATATTTTTTCTTGTTTGTTGGTACAGGATATTGAACTCACAACCCTCATGCTTGCCAGGCAGACAATGCATTGCTGAGCTATATCCCTGGCTCTGAACTATTTTTAACCTAATATATTGTACAATTATAGAAATATGGAGACAACTGCTGCTGAGCAATTTATATGGACCCTAAATCTCAGGTAGACGGTACCACCAACTTCAACAGCTATCAATGGTCACATATTTACATACGTATATAAGTACGAAAAAATGCCTATTTAGAAATATCAGTTCTGGGGCTGGGGAAGATAGCTCAGTGGCAAAAGCACCTGCCTGACAAGTGCAAAGTCATGAGTTCGATCCCCAGTGACCCCCCCCACACAAAAAAATCAGTTCTAAAATTTTATTGTATAAGGTTTAGTACAAGAAAACATTAAAGAATTAAACTGCGTACTAGAGTCAAAAGTCCCCATTAATGAAACTATTATATATCCACAATTAACCAATCTTTAATGTAAAAATTACATTTGGGTAAATTTTTATTTTGTTCATTATTTATTGCTTTAAACATTTCTTCCTTATTCTATAAAAGTGATTGCTTAAATTCAAGGGAATAAATAGCTATACCATAAGAACTATCACACCAGTAAACTAATGAGAGCACTAAATGGCTGGGTTTGGGGGAGGGTGTGAATGATGAGTTCACTAACTAAAAGTTTTGCTCTGTGGGTATTTTATAAGAGAAAACATTATTTTCTTGCAGAAAAGTTTGCTCTGTGGGTATTTTATAAGAGAAAACATTAATTTCTGCAAGTAGTATATTTATAAAAATAAGTTCATTCTTTGTATGAGTGGAGCTGACAAAGTTCTTCCACAGCGTTAAGCACACAAATCTAAATACCAGGAAACTTGGGTTCTGGCCAGACTTTTCCAAGGCCCAGCTGACACAGAAAGAATATTTTCTGGCAGAGAACTGGATGAGATGACACACGTGAAACTGCAGTGTATGGCTTAGTCTGATAATCATAAATTTTTATATCTTAAAAAATGTATTTCCAGTTATGTGCTTTGCCATGTTAGATAAAATGGAGGCTTAAAAACTTAAGCTTGAAAAACAGTCATTAGACATTTAAAATATGCTTTTTTGTGATGGGTTGTTTTACATTGTAGAATCGCAGGCAAACCCATCTATACTGAAAGAAGTCAGGAAGTGGTTACCTCTGAAGAGATGGTTGTGACTAGTGGAAGGGCCAAAATCAGGTGTAACTGCTTTGTGACAGTTTATTGAGTTGAATTCAGATGAGCAAAAAGCTACTTAACAGAAATAATCAAGGAATACTTACGCTGTGAAATTATCTGTAATTCTTCCTATTAGTAACTTTTTAAGTGCAATTGGTTTCTGTAGAATATTTATTATATTTCAAAAAAAGCAAAGGAATATGACTTAATCACTTATAAAAAATAAATTCTTTTGTAATGCAAAATAAAAAGACCTTGTTTAACTGCAGTTTAAACATACAGCTTAAACATGCAGTTTAAACATACACATGGAACAAATGGCATCTGCCAAATACAAATTAAGAAATACAGTTTAATAAAAAACCTGAAATGCTCTCAAACCTAAAACATTCTGAGTGCTTGTGGAAAGTTTCTCTCTTTCACTCTCTCCCCCCCTTTCTTCTCCTCCCCCCTCTCCCCTCTCTGTCCCCTATCTCCCTTCTCTCTCTCTCTCTCTCTCTCTCTCTCTCTCTCTCTCTCTCTCTCTCTCTCTCTCTTTTTCTCCCTCTCTTTTGCAGTTCAGGCTGGCCTTGAACTCCACTTTGTAACCTTGGCTGGCCCTGAACTCACAGCAATGATCCACCTATCTCAGCCTCCCAAATGCTAGGATTATAGGTGTGTACCACCATGTCCAGTTGAAAGTTGCAACTTTATTTTTTTATTTGTATCTATTTTTTTTATGTATTTGGCACAGGGTCTCACTATGCAGCTTGGACTCATAGCAATCTTTCTATTTTCAGCCTCCCCAGCACTGAGGTTACAGGTGTGCACCACCACGTTGGGTCTTGGTGGCTGGCTCAGGGTACCCAAATGTGGGGTGGTGTGGCATGTGGTGCAGGGAACTAAGCAGGCCCTTAGTCTTCTTTTTTTTTTAAAAAATTTTTTTTTTATTTTTTTATTTATTTGAGAGAGAGATAGAGAGAGAGAGTGTGGTGTGTGTGTGTGGCCAGCTCAGCCCACCAGGGGGCGGGGCTGGCTGGCATGTGGTGCTGGGGGATTGAACCGCGGTCCCTGATGCTTTGCCAAGCTTGTTCTAAGTAGGTGCCTTAGACCACTGAGCCATCTCTCCAGCCCCAGGCCCTTAGTCTTCTGCGCTATCTTGCTGGCCCTGAAAATTACAACTTTAAAACCTATCCAAATATTCCAAAATACAAAAACTCCAAAATTAGAAATATTGTCCCAAGAATTTTGGGCAAGGTATACTTAACCTGAATTTTGTCTACATTCAAAACCTTGACATTCCTAGTATTTTGTAGGAAATCAATAACCTTATGAAAGTTCAACTTTTAAATATATACTGATATAGACCCAAAAGCTACAATTCTTGTTGCATAGGTCCTACTTTACCTTGGTCTTAATCATCCAGCAGAAAAGTATAAAAAACGAAGTATAAGTAAAGCCATGGTGTTATGTTGAGCTGTAGGGGACTCAGGTCAACAATTTCTGACATTGCCAGTGAAGCAGAAGACCCAATATTATTATGGACTACTGAACTCTTTTAGAATATTTTGTTGAGTTTACACACCTACAATATTTAAATGATGGAACTTAACAAAAAAGGGGAATACAGATGAATGTGCATTTTGTATCTGTGTATTCAAAGTGGTTAGGATAGATATATAGTTACATTCTCTTAATGAATAGAGGGGTTTGTTCTAATGGTGTTTGTAAATAGGATATCAAGTCCGCATCTTGTACAGCAATTAACCACTAGGAAGAATGTATGCAATGTGTTAATTATTGAAACTGTCCTACCAATTTGGTTTGAAACTGTCTCACTGCTATTTGTTTCTCAATAAAATTATGGAAAAAATATATACTGATATAAAAAATAAGTAAATAAATATATACTGATATGTAAAATGTAAACTGTCAGAACTACTCAAATGGGGCTGGCAAGGTAGCTCCGCTGACTAAAGCACCTGCTAGACAATCGCAGGGACGGAGGTTGGATCTCCAGTACCACGTATTGTGCCAGCCCTGCCCCCAGGGAGGGCTGAGCTGGCCACAGAGTCCAGGCATGGGGAGTGCACATCTGTAATCCCAGAGCTGGGGAGGCTGAAAACAGGAGGATCACTATGAGCAGGAGGATCACTATGAGTCCGAGCTGTGCAGTGAGACCCTGTTATAATCAAATACAAAAAAAAAAAAAAAAAAATCAAAAAAACAAACTACTCAAATGAACCTAGTAAACATTTACAAAGATGACAACACAAAGGACAATCAGAGTGTGCAAATTTCTGAAAGATTTACATGCATTACAAGAAAATCTTTTCATGTGTACAAAAGCTAGAGCAACAAGTTTTAGTATATGTGCTGCCTAAGCGAGCACAGAGTAACAAGTTTTAAATAAGAACAGTGATCTTCAGATATCCTTACTGCCCTACAAGTGAAAACTTACGAAAAAATTGTATCTAACTTTGGAAATAATCACAATGACTATACTTTCAAAGCTAAGTAGTCAAACAGATGACTGAAGTAGATGCCACAGTCTGCCCAAAGGGCTCTAAATATCATCCTGTGTCATTTATATTTCAGACCTAAGAAACCAGCAACTGCTCTGTAAAACCAACCACCCTCCTTGCCTTTATGCCTCAACCTGTTAATCATGTGTTCTAGCTCAGACCCTCTGCCCCAACAGTCTCTCAGTCAGTTATCCTAGCTGTTTTTTTTATGTTACCATTTGCCATGTGCACAACTCCATTAAATAATGCAAAACTGAAGAAATTACAGAAATCACTCCTACCAGGAACCATTTAGCTCCTGAAATTATCCGAGGGCCTATGTAGGCTCAAAATGACTCCAGAACAAAAGATAAGAGCTGTCAAATAAATGTATTACCATACACTATACAAGATAATCCAAGTATGGACTAAGAAGTCACTCTTCACTTTTCCTTTCATTTCCTCACACAAGAAATTAAGGTTTCATAAATTTCATTCTGAAACACAGTATTTCCACCTTTCTCTGACGTTTGTAATGTGAAGCTAGCTCATGTATGATTGAGGAAAAAAAGGAGAATAATATCAGTAAGGGAGGACGTGCTGGCTTTTCCCCTCAAACTCATCAATGGTTTATATTACACGTAAGTTATGTTGATTATAAAGTCTTCTAATAACTAAAATCAGCTGCTGTTTTTTTGTGCCTGAATTTGTAAAATATAAGATTTCTCTACAATACATTATTTCTCTGCAGTAGAAATGTTTATACATAAAACTTCAATTACGGCTGTGGAGACGGCTCAATGGTCTAAGTGACTACGTAGGCAAGAACAAAGACCTGGGTTCGATCCCTGGTACCACATGTGGTGACGGCCCTGCCCCAGGTGCACTGAGCTGGCCACCAAAACCAGGTGTGGTGGCGTATACCTGTAATCCCAGCTCCGGGGAGGCTGAAACAGGAGGATCACCATGAGTCCAAGCTGCGCAGTGAGACTATACCAAATACATAAAAATACTTCAATTAGTCATATTAATTTTATTAGTTTAAAAATATTAAGATGTTATTTTAAGATCAGGATTATATCCAAGATTAGGAATGACAGGGGACAGAAACTAACAGTTATCGATGATTATTTTTTAAGAGTTTTGAAAACTTTAAGATGAATCTAACCAGGACTATGTTAACATTGAAAATATAATAAAAAATAGAATCAATACAACTTCCAATTTTAATATACAAAAACAAAAACCCATAGTCTCAGTAGACCAAAAAAAAAAAAAAAAAAAAAACCAAAAAAAACAAAAACTCCATTTATGACTTATACAAAACAACACAATTTCTCAACAAGTTAGGAATAGCAGATCAAGAATTTTATTTTATTTTTTTTGTACTTCATGTTTCTTTTTATTTATGTATTTATTTTCCATAATTTTATTGAGAAACAAATAGCAGTGAGACAGTTTCAAACCAAACTGTTAGGACAGTTCCAATAATTAACACATTGCATACTCTCTTCCTAGTGGTTATTTGTTGTACAAGATGCAGACATGATATCCTATTTACAAACACTATTAGAACAAATTCCTCTATTCATTAAGAGAATGTAACTATATACCTATGCTAACCATTTTGAATACACAAATACAAAATGGACATAGATCTCTATACCCTTTTTTATTTAGTTCCGTTACTTGAATATCATAGATGTGTTAACTCAGCAAAATATTCTAAAAGAGTTCAGTAGGCCATAATAGTATTGGGTCTTACACTTGACTGGCAGTGTCAGAAATGGTTGACCTGAGTCCCCTAGAGCTCAACATAACAACATGGCTTACTTCTTATACTTCGTTTTTATACTTTTCTGCTGGATGGTTAAGACCAAGGTAAAGCAGGACCTATGCAACAAGAGTTGTAGCTTTTAGGTATGATAAGATCAGTGAAATCCGCTCAGGATTTATGCTGAGATCCTGTACCTCAGATTGTAGATCCTTTGTCAGTATCAGCCATGTGGATGAGTCACAGCCATTGTTTGGCCAATGTGCTCTCTGTGAAAGCCTGAGAGAATGTTTTCTCTCCGTGTGACTCTCCTTAGGCACACTCTAAACCATCTATCACTTTCCTCTTTGGCCCCATAATCTCCTTGCAGATCAAGAATTTTAAAGCAGTTATTATAGCTGTCTCTGAGGCCTTGACAATGAGTGCAAAGATAAAGAAATACCAGAAGAGAAAAATGAACAATACTGAAACTACAGAACTACAATGCTTTCCAATTTTCTCATTTTTTAAACTAGTAATCTGTAGTACTTATGGACAATGCATAAATTTTGAAAAGCTGACTGAAGTATTTATGTAACATAATAAAATATGGACTAGATAAACTAATGTCCTCTTGCTTTTTGTTTTCAATGTTCTGTATTTAAAATGGGGAAAAGGATTGAGACATTAATTAAAATAACTACGGATGATTTAATAAGAGTTAAAATAGTGAGATATGAACTGAGAACAAAACCAAATATGGTCTCATTCAAGGAGCAATCAGCTCACATTTTCTAAGGATCAGCTATAATACTACAGATGTATAAATATTTATTTAATGAGATTAATTTTATCCTCATGAGGGCCAACAGGGACAGTATATATTGTAGATATAGTATATATAGCACATTTCTCAAAATTTCAGGAATTCTATTATTCTTATGAAACAAATTCTTGTATGAATTTATTGTTTTCACATGATTTCTAAAAAGTATGTATCTCAGAATTTAAAAACTAGCAAAACAAAATTTGACAACTGGAATTTTTATATTTTGTTCTGATATTTAGGATAATTCTGAATCATTATATTTGGCTATCATGCAAAGGCTCAAAACACTGTCAAGGATAAAACTGCAGGATATTTAGTAAAACCAGAAGTTATCAGAACTTATCAGTTGATTATAAATAGGGTATCTAAGCTACAAGTGGTGGTGCATGCCTGTAATCCTAACACTCGGGAGGCTGAGGCAACCAGGACTGCCATGAGTTTGAGGCCATCCTGGGCTACACAGTGAGTTCAAAGCCAGCCTGAACTACACAGTGAAACTGTTTCAAAAAGACAAAACAAACAACAAAACACTTCTATCTATAGGACCATCTATAAACCATCATAGGGTCACCATACAGATGTGGTAAAACCACTATCAGTTATAATCTGGTACAATGCTTTTAAAAGACATTCATTCAGATGCTGAGCCAGGGGGCTGATTCAGCAGTGGTAGAGCACTTGCCTAGTTTATGCAAGACCCTGGGTTCAATACCCAGTACTGAAAGGGGTGTGTGTGTGTGTGTGTGTGTGTGTGTGTGTGTGTGTTTAGGTTAATACTCCTGAAATGTACTTTTATGGGCCATTAAGAAATGTTGGGCCTGGTGTAGTGGTGCACGCCTGTAATCCCAGTACTCAGGAGGCTGAGGTAGGAGGATCATTACAAGTTTGAGACCAGCTTGGGCTACAATACAAAGTGAGCTCAAAGCCAGCCTGAACTGCATAATGAGACCCTGTTTCAAAAAAGGCAAAAAAAAGAAAGAGAAAAAAATTTCAAATTATAAGTGTGGAAACTCTGATTTATCTCAGGGCTTTTTAGTCTTTAATATAAGAATATATAATGTGAGATTCTGAAAAGGAAATAATATTTAGCATTTCTAAGAATTAACTGTCTTTGGTATTTCCTTTTCCTTGAGTATCTCAAGGGACTAGTATATTCCACTGAAATCAAGTTTTAGGACCTATCAACTGGATACTACAAAGATATGTAAGTGTGCTGATACGTTCTTGGTCCACTATAACAATCCCATATTTTAAGTAAATATGAGAAAAAGAGAAGCCAATATGAGTGAAGATACTCTGTACAGTATTAATTATAACAACAAAAATTAGAATACAAATTTAATAAATATTGCTATGTCAATGTCAAGGACTAATGTACATTTACTAAAGTTCTAGAAGGGAGATGATAGATCCATAGAAAATGTTTGTTAAATTAAAGACATAATCCAATTTTCTACTTGTTTTAGGATTATAACTATAAAACTGTTTATATACAAACAAGACAGAGAAGAGTGGAAAATGAAACAAGTTAATGTTCCAAATAGTGGGACTGGAGTAATTCTTTTAGTTTAACTTTTATAGTACTATATACACAACAGATAAAAAGTGGTAGCTGTAAAGAAAAACATAAAGGTAAGAATCTTGATTAAAAACTATTTTAATATCTCTTTTGCAATATTATATTTCCTGGTAATCAATAATATTTAAATTACAGGACCATTTAAAGACTGTCAGCATGCAAAGGAAGCTGGGCATTCAGTCAGTGGAATTTATATGATTAAACCTGAAAACAGCAATGGACCAATACAATTATGGTGTGAGAACAGTTTGGATCCTGGGGGTTGGACTGTCATTCAGAAAAGAACAGATGGCTCTGTCAACTTCTTCAGAAACTGGGAAAACTACAAGGTAAAATCAGTGAACTAGGGAACGAGAACAAAGACACTTTTGCAGTAGTGGCCATTCTTTCTATTCAATGAATAAGATATGGAATTAACTATTGATACAATTTTCAGTATCTCTTTGAAAGAGACTTCTTTAAAATTAAAGTTAAAAAGCAAGGTGAAGATATATTTTGAAATGTGTCCCTTTGGTCTGGATG